ATTAGAAAACCTTTGGACCATTGCGTGGTGTGTTATCAAATATATGAGCGTTATTAAACATATTTCGAGCATCAGTAGGATAAGTCTGGAAGAATGTTAAAGAGTGTGAGAAATGATGAATGGAAGGGCAAAAACCAAAACCAAAATTTATACACATTGTTTTTCAAAGAAAATGAAACATTGAAATTACATATGAATGTGAATTGTGAGAGATATATAGGATATTATTTTTACATGATAATCATACAAATCGGCCCGGTGATCTAACGGCTTGGCAGAAGCATCACAATTAGAAATAATTCGAATATCTGGATAAGCTTGTCTTATTGCATTGTAGAATGCCAGGTAATTACCTAATCAATAAAAATGTTTAAAAAAATATTAGATTAACCCCTTTTAACATTTATTCAGTCATAAAGGATCATCAACCTACAAATAATAATAAAAAGGATCGAAAGAAAATTATATAATAATATTGAAGTCAAAGAGTGTAAATAGTTAAAAAAAAGATAAGGGATATCAAAAAATAATAATAATAATAATAAGGAGATCTCAGTTAGACTTTAGGATTTGACATGTTTAAAGATAGTGAATTCGATTTCTGAGAATCGCAACTCTTGATAAGGATAGAGGGACTCAAACCCAAAATCGGATTAACCGGCTATTAGGGTTTCGAATACTGATTAACATATATATATATATATATATATATATATATATATATATATATATATATATATAAAAACCATTTTGAAGTAGCTGAACCTCTTGCAAACTCAATGCCATCAAGGGCTTCCTACAATTAAGATAATGGAAAAATAACATACTGAAATTTTTCTATACCATTGTTTCAAAAACAAGGAAAATGCAACAACATGAATATGGCATGGGGAAGAAAGAAGAGTAAGAAAATGTACTTGCACAAAAGGTCTAATGACGCTTGTATCAATTGTATCAGTATGGCTGATACCTGCACAAATCCACAAATTAAGCAATGATCGTAACTCCATACAAAAAATAAAACAAAGCAGATAGAAAGAAATGCAAAAATACCATTGTTAAATACCCATATTGGCCTTGCACCAATGTCCTCTGCTAGCTACACAAGAAAAATGGTGTATCATATGATTGAATTTCACAACAAAAACAAAATGTGATTGCTATTATAAGTTTAATTGGACCTACTTGAAGACCCTCAAAATAGCCAAATCCATCGTCTGTCCAGTAACTCCAAACATCAGCAAAGTGCCCAGGTCTTTGTTCCCAGTGTCCAACACTATCTTTCCACCGAAATGCATTTCTTAATGTTTGTCCTTCAATAAAACAGCCACCTCTTGCAAAACAAGATATTGCATTATTGGAATTTGGAACTTATTTCGTTGTTTTATGTCGTCATGACTTAAAAAGACAAACTAGAATGATATAAGATTTTTAGAAGCCATACTTATAATATGTACTCAATATCCCAATAAATAAAAAAAGATAGTGTAATGCTACATCCATCACAGAATCTACCCTGAATTTGTTAAGACTTAAAACTGATTAGTTATTGAGTAAGTAGTAAGGATCACTAAGAGTTAAATAATATGCCCAACTCATTTTCATATTATTATTTACCATAATTATCTACTTTGTTCCAAAAAGATAGTACATAATGCATGCCAATAATTATGCAATAAGGTGAAAAGTCTGAAATCTCTTTATTTATGTATACCTGGAAATCTGAGAAAGGCTGGTTTCAACTCTACTAGCATATCGACCAAGTCACTTCGGAAACCATGTCCCTATGCCAAGACAAGTTTGAAGATTTACTAATAATAAAATAAAATTGAGTGTTGCCAACAAAAAGTTACTGTCATTCTAGTCAGAACTTGATAGAGTAGCTAGAAAAGGCTCATCTTATTACATGGAAAAATAGAGACCTTAAATGTGTCGACAGGCATAGCAGACACTTGGTCTAACCATATCACCCGTTTTTTTGTTGTTCTTAAATGAATGGTAGAATTAGAACTTGTTGCAACTGCTACTAATGTAGTCTCCACCCTTTTCCAATTTGAAACCTCTGAAGCAGAAGCTCTGCAAGATCAATTATTTGTATAATTCTCAGATACAAAAGATACATTTTTCTATGCTATATATTGAGCATAGAGTCTCTCAAGGATTTTAAAACATGATGCTCACTTGATAGTACTAGAAGCCAATACCCCTCCACCTTGTGCATTTCTGAATGATACTGTCATATCTAATGATCCTGTTGAACGAACAAAGAAAACAACTTTGTATTTCTTCCCTTGCACAATATTCTGAAACAAGATTTTTTTTTTGTTATAAGATGCAAATCAAATTAACTTCATAAAAACAAATGCACATAGCATTAACTTCAACTGTCAAATAAAAAAAGAAAAAGAACAAAGAAATATAGTTTGTATAAGAAATATTATTAGTTATTCTCTCACCATGCCCCAATAACCTGGGTTAGAGATACCGACACCATCAGAAGGGCAATTATCAGAGAGCACATCCATTCTTAATGCAACCTTATTTCGTTCAAAGCAAGAACTAAGTTCAGTTTGTACTAAAATGGATGAATCTTGTCCAACTATAACCCAAGGGTCAATATTTGATGGAACTTGTGTGCCCCCAGCTTCAAAACCTGAAACATAAATTTAAATATGAATGCAATGCAATTAAAATACTTTTGTCTTAAGTATTATCTCCTGTGAAGTAGATTGTGCAACAATAATATTTCTTGTGTGTTGTTTGTTTAGTAGTTTTATATTAGCCTTCTCTAACACACATATTACACAAGAACTTATTGAACTTGATAGGTGAATAATGAATAGGCCTGATATCACTAAGAATATTAGAAAAGTGAAAGCGGCGAGTATCGAACTCATAAACACTCGATCACAAGCTCTGATATCATGTAAGATAACAAATTCAACCCAAAACTTTAAATTTGTCTTATTAATGACTTTATTTTAAACTTTTATATTATATTAGATAAATACTTTTGTAATAAGTTGAAGAGAATATGGAAATTAATGACCTCGGTTGTTGACAAGCTCTGCCCATAATCCTCCAGCGCCAGCATGATTGATCTCCTGCAAAAGAAGTTCAAGATTTTGGTTGGTCACTTTGAAATATTTGTGTAAAGAACCAATTCAACAAAAAGTTTAAAGTGATAGGTAAGAGCCTCTTTAATGGTTTATATTATACTCTAATACGCCCCTCACAAGAAATCTCATTGGGTTTGAAAGTTGGATGATGCATCAGCCCGACCTACCTATGTTAAGAAATTCCACAAAGAACCCGGGATACAAGGCTCTGATACCATGTAAAGAATCAATTCAACCAAAAGCTTAAACTGATAGGTGAAAGTCTCTTTAATGGTTTATATTATACTCTAACAATTTGTCTAACCATGCACTATCTAGGGAGATTCAATAATCTTCAATAACTCTTTAAGTTTGTATGACATTAAAAACTTTATTATATTTAATGTTTAAAGACGTGAAGAAGAAGCTATGCAGTTACTAGCATCATATATAATCTTTTTGCACCTCAAAAAATATTCCAAAAAGAGTGTTTGGCATTGGTCTTCCAGATGCATTAGAAGCATCTACAACTAGAGTTGAAGTCTGGTTAGGAGCAGCACAACATTGAAAAGCAAGACAAGCCACTATGATGAGGTAGAACCAGAGAAAACTGCAATAAGACTTTGAAAAAGCCATTCTGTTTTCACACTTTCTATCTGATTCAACACCAATGTATGTATGTAATAAGCCAGCCATTTTCGTTGTCTTGGTCTCTTTCTTTTTTGGCTTTGTATTTATAAAACGAACTTTTCGGAAAAAATAAATGAATAGATAACTTGGCCAACAATTAACAGAGATCCGAGTTTAAAGTATATTTGAGTGAGATAGAGTTACCGTAGCACCTGTTACGGCGCTCCTAAGTTCAATGTTTATTTTAATGTACGGAGACCCACATTTAACATCATTGAACATATATTTTTTTTTTTGAATATTACATGGAATCGAACAGCGAACCTAACACTCCCTAAACACATCTAACACGACTAGGCTATCCCTAGTGGTGCCACTGAACATATATATTTGCATAAAAGCTTTGTTATATTTTAGAAATTATAATTAATAATTAGAATTTAGAGTACATAATGGGAATATGGGATTAAATAAAAAAATAACCATGAGATTTGGGCCTAAGTAGAAAATTCTCTTTCTTGAGTGTGAACTTGCTTCATTTCTTGTTCAAAATGATATCATGCGTGTATTTATTTTATGGGAAAATATTTTTTCATGTCAAGAGTTATTTTTTTCTACTAGTGACTCTTCAATTTTTGTGTAATATTTTTTTTTGTTTTTTTTTTAATAGATGTGGACCCCACATAAGATCTGTTTATAATATGAGAAAATTTTCTCCTAAGAAAATCGAAACTCTTATTTTATTATATAATACCTGTTAAATAGGTTAGGTTACATTGTTCAATATTGCATATTAATTTTTTTTATTTAAAAAAAGCTTATTTTTTATGTGTACTAATGTGAATCCGCGTGAGATGGATGAGGAAGAACGATAAAAACATAATAGATAAAAAATAATAATAACTTCATTGAAGTGGATAAAATAACATGATTACATGAACTATAAATATTATAATTGTAATAAAAAATTATATCAATAATGTTTCATTAACCTTTTTTACATCTTAATTAAATACATATGAAAAGTTTACCCCAAAAAAAAAAGTACATATGAAAAAGTTTCTACTTTTAGCGAAGTTCAAAACCTCAGTATATTGATAATGATATGATTTTATATAAAAAATTCATTCTTGTAGACATCGATATCAAAGTTTTTTGGTGAATTTTTTTTTTAAACATTGTACTACATAAAAGATATGTAAATATTAAGTATATAACTATTAATATTAATTTAAAGAAAATATATTCACTTTGAAATGAACAGAGCTGAAATTAAATGAAACCCGATAATTATTATTTACAACCCAACATTGTTTAGTTTACATTACAAAGTAGACTAGCAAATATGCAAATCTTATATAGATAATTGCAACCATTGCATATATCCCATTCCTTCCCCTTTATTTTTTCTTTTTTTTTTTTTTTTTTGGTATAATTTCTTATTACTTTAAATAGAAGACCATGTGGACGAATCACTTCCTCTCATCTTCAGATTGCTGGATTCTTTCAACAAATCAAATGATGTGAATGAATGTGGTGGGACTATGAGATTCATGTCCTTCCCAACATTTTGAAATAGACGCTGGACTTGCACCACCTGAATCATTATAAAAAATAACCAAAGCATAAGCTAATTTGACATGGTTCCTCAATAGCTATAACTATTTTCAACCTTTAATCATAAGCTAATGTTAATAAAAAAGTTCACTAATAGATTCAAAAAGGACCAAGTTAACTATGTTTAATGTAATTGTGATATATATATATATATATATATATATATAAGGTAAGATCCTTGGATACCAGTGTCAAATTTCAAGAAATTTGACACCTCATCTGAGAGTTGTTAGATAAAAAAAGATCAATGGTGTCACATGCTTACAAATCAGAGTCGTTGATCTTTTTTGATCTAACGACTCTCAGATGAGGTGTCAAAAGGATCCTACCTCTATATATATAGATATATATATATGTGTGTGTGTGTGTGTGAGATTTCCATGCAACTATGGTTCATGCAAGGAGTTAGAACATTAGTATAATCCACAGAATAGGATTCAGAAAATCATATTATAAAATGGAGATGAACAAGAACTCTTAACTACAAATTTTACGTTTGGAAAGAAAGAAGCTTGAGTTACCTTCTTTGGCTGTGAGAAGGAATTCTCATCCATTACATTTGTAGATGTAAGTACAGTCTTTGTTGACCCAGATAACTGTGCTGAGTTTGGGTCCAATCCTGTAAAAGAAATCTTGAGGTTCACAGTGTTGATACCAAAGTTCACAACCTGCAGAAGTCAATTCTCCAGAGTGATGATAGAGCTATTGAAAGGAATTATAACACAAAACAAATCTGTTTATTAATCAGCTCAATAAAACAATGTGTCACTTTCATGGAAGATGGTGAAAGACAAGTTTCAAATAGCATTTCATTCAAAGACAACTTCATGACTAAGAAATATGTATGTCCCTGTTACCTTTATTCGTATGTAATTGTTCTTATCTACAGAACTTTGCCAAGTAATTGCTGATGCAATAAGTGAATTTGAGGAAGTCGTTTGAAGTGATGTATTAAGAAGTGTTGCTCCACTTGACTCAGAGAAAAATTGCTGCACCCAATAGCTAGGAGTTCCATAATGCTGAAAGGAGTTGAATACAATTGCATCTGGGTTCCACCTAATAACAGAAACACACACAATCTTAGTTTCACCATCATCATTTTTTTTTTCCCAATGATATTTAGAGTAACAAAATCCTCTGAAGACACTTTGTTCTTCAAGCAAGAACATGAAATAGTTAATAATCTACTTCATCATCCTTTTGCCAACACGTACTATAACAGATTTATCTATTCATAAGGAGAGTGAATCAACATATAATTTACTTCTGGCTTAATGGAAGGCTGGACTTAAAAAAAATAAAAATAAAGGCTATCTGAAAGAAATTAACCATTGTCTTTGTTTTCACAAGTACAATCATGCCTCCTCAGGAGAAATTAACAAATTATTTGTCTATTTTCCTGTGGCAGCTTTTTCATAAAACCTCTACTCATAATAAAAGAACTTAGTGCATAATCTAAAGGCTAGACCAAAAAGCAAAGAAGAAGATTAGATGATAGAAATTTCCAGGTAAAATCATAAAATATTACCTTCTATCATTCACATTTACAAAAAGTGGAGCATAGCTAACCATATTGACAACATCACTGCACCAGAAAAGAAAAAATAAAATGGTGAGTACTAGTAAATGAACTAGATCAGAAACTCAGATTTCATACTGACTGGACCATCTTTCTATTAAATCTTATATTTAGGGTATGATACAAATGCCAAGTATTTTGGCAAACATTAAAAGGGTTGTAATTGATATAGTCTTCCCCTCCATTGCAACAAAGCTTATATGATAACAGACAGCTTTCCTCTTCTTAGCTTGAAACAAGAAGAATCCCCACTTCAGTAATTCTTACAAAATGTTGATAGTAATTTTTCTTTTTTCTTTACATCTACTTAATCGAGCCCTTTCCAATGCTTGAGGGTAATCTTGAAGAGTGCTCACAAGATGTGCGGAAAGCCCATTCTATATTGGACAAAATCATTGAAGGGACAGTTTAAGATAAAACCTTTTTAGGACAAAAAGTAATGAATAATATAGAGTTGATAAATGATTTGCTAGCTCAAATCACAAAGGGCACATTAGAACAAGTTCATTTGAATGAAAAAGTCATTGTCAAACTTTAAGTGATTCATGTTTAACAGAGAAGTCAAGCTTGACAACACTCTAAACAGACTACATTTACTTAAGCCCAAATGTAGCCTGTTTGAGCCTGCCTATCGCCTTGGGCCAAAAGCTCAGTCAGAAGGGTAATTAACGATTTATTATAAAAATCTTTCGCATATGGTCTGCATATTTGTTTTGGTAAAAAAAATAAAAATTTCAACACTTAAGGAAAATTTCTCAAACCTGTTCTTTTCTAGTCCAATAAGGAACCCAGCTTCACCTAGGGCAGCCAAAAGGCTTCCCGTCCCAGCATCTTTTCCGGTCACAGCATACTCACTAACAAAAGCCTGTAAAGTGATCAAACAGATCGAGCATGACATATGCCGGTAACCAATAAAATAGACGGGTGTTTAATAGAGATGATAAAACCTTTGGACCAATACGTGATGTATGATCAAACACGTTAGCTCTAGAAAACATGTCATTCGCACCTGTATAAATCTAATCATAAAAACAGATGATAAGAAAAGATAATACACAAGGTGGATCAATATAAAATATAAATATTAATTTTCATAACTGAAGTGAAAATATAATACAAAGTGGATCAAAGAAGTCGTGCTAAGATATTACATGATAATCATACAGATCAGCCGGGTGATCTAAAGGTTTAGAAGAACCATCACAATTTGAGATAATTTGGATATCTGGATAAGCTTGTTTTATTGCACTATAGAATTTCAGGTAGTTTCCTGGTCAATCAAAGATTTAACAGAAAAAGAAGTGGCATCAGATAAATCTGAATTCTGAATCAAGAAAAAATAATTATAAAATCCAGAACAGTTCAATAGAAATCTGCACATATCACATTACTAAAAAATCCAACTAAAGTTTTTGAGCCTCATCTTGGCATAAATGATCCAAAGTATTAGTGTATGTTAGCAAAGAATATATCACATTTTCTTATGAAAGAATAAAAAAAAAAGAATAAATAAGAAAAACATGCATACCTCGATAGTTCTTTTTTCCACAATCCTCATTCCCAACAGCAACATATTTTAGGTCAAATGGCTCTGGATGTCCCATATCAGCTCTAATGGAACCCCATTTCGAAGTGGGATCACCTCTCGCAAACTCAATTCCATCAAGGGCTTCCTGCAATCAAGATTTCAAGTTCTATCTATGAATTTTTACACTAACTTTCTTTAACTAAAAAAGAAAAAGTAAAAAATATGAGGGAGATTATATACTTGCACAAAAGGTGCGACCACGGATGTATCAACTTGATCATTATGGCTGACACCTAGCATGAAATATTCAATTAGAAAACAAAGACATTACCAATTGACCATGTTAGAAAGAAAACTTAGTAAACAGAGATAAACAATATAAAAAAAAAAAAAAAAAAATACCATTATTAAATACCCATATTGGCAATGCACCCAAGTCCTCTGCAAGCTGCTCAACAATAACAATATATATTATTTCACTAGCATAGCACAAACGAAAAGCAATTCAACTTAATAGGAAAATCATAATCCTTGGAACCAATATTTGAAAAGAGACACTTACTTGGAGAAACTCAAAATAGCCAAGTCCATCATCAGTCCAGTACATCCAAACATCACCAAAGTGTCCAGGTCTCTTCTCCCATGGTCCAATGCTTTCTTTCCACCGAAATGCATTTCTTAACCATTCTCCTTCAACAAAACAACCACCTGATAAAATGTAATGAAAAATAGCATTCCCAAAAATTAGGTTAATCAGTAATTGGATTGCGAATACAAATCAGAAGTGTGATATGGATATATGAAATTACCAAACATGCTTTACTTAAACTATGCATATACCAAAGATCCTAAACAATACATAGATGACCTTTGTCCATCAAGGCTCAAAAACTATACCATAATCAACCCCTTATCAAAATAAGAAGAGGAAGAAAAACAAGGAAATCATTCTTTGAAAACCAAATAAATGAAAGATAAAGCACAATTAATCCATTGCAGGGCAAAAAATCAAAACCATGCAGTTTAAATGTCAAGAATTGCAATTATAATATCCATTAAATACTTTACCATTCATAAAACAAAATGCGATGTTCTCAACATTTACATTCCTCAAATTCCAAGGCAAATAGGATGTTCAAATTCCTTGCTGGCATAACAACTACTTTTATATACTGCATCCTATCCTGTTGTTGCCTAACATAGAGCCTGGTTTGATTGCTGTATTCTATAAAAGACAGGGCACTTCACACCTTAGGCAAGCCAGTTCAGAAAATATTTATCTTCTAGTGCCGACTAACAAAATTTCCCCTTAATTTGTGCTTTAACAAAAGAAAAGAATATGATATTTTATCATACTAGATAGAACTTGAGAAAAGTTCCAAGCCTTTGAGCAACAATGTTGATTAAGTGTTATTTGGACGGTCCTTTTGAAATGGCAGGGTAAATGCAAATAATTAGGATATCATTAATTTGAATTCTTCATGCTTTTTTAAACAAATACATAACTATGAGAAATATGCCAAATCACAATTCCAGAAAAGATAGAAAAGCCCCATAGAATCTCCTGTAATACTGATCATATGCTTACAGCTTATTGCATAACCCCATAAGTAATTTTGGAGTGTGAAGCCAATTTAGAAAGTGACAACTAAAACATAACTAAAAGCAAGTACTACAGAAAAAAGGAAAACCGAAGTTCAGAAATTAAAAAAGTCATTAGTTTCTTGGCTTTTGTTAGTAATAGCTGAAAGTGAAACAAAATGAAACTTTTGCAGTGGAGATTCAAATTATTTCACACTTTGATGCAGGAAAAAAGTAGAGAATAGTTTAAAATAGATTAACATTCTCTTCATTTTGTACATTCTCTACCATGTATTTATGAGTAATTAAAAAAACAAAAAATTCCTCACTTTCCTCTCTATGTTCCACCTTTTGCTATTAAGCACACCCTCATTCAAGTATACACATTTGGAGATGCAAGACTAAAAGCACATAGGGAAGAGAAGAAGCAAAGCATAAGATATATAAAGAATAATTTTAAAAAATCTAGGTTTGAAAATTCTTAATGTGAACCACTTTATTCATACCCGGAAATCTGATAAATCTTGGTTTCAAATCTGCCAGCATTTGAGCAAGTTCACTACGGAAACCATGTCCCTGTGCCAAGCCAAGGTTGAAGATGTTACTAACAGGGTGGGGGGAGGACAATGCAGTACCATCAACAGTGGCATCAGATACTGAAAGGCAATGGCTTTACACAAGTAACTAAACATAATTCCATCATGGGAATACCGATACAATATTAATTATATTCGTTATAAAATATTTTATTTCTAAAGAATGGCTATCCTTTTTGTTATAAAGAATAATCCACATAAACTGATAAGATCTAAATCTTTATAAACATCATTTAAACTAATATTATTTTGATAATGCTCATATCCTGCGTATCAAATGGCATGCAATTAGACAGATGTATGAAGAACAATATATGGTATATTTAAGGATGATGTATAAAAAATAACAAAGGAAGAAAAGAAGAACGAAGGTTCCTTAACAAGCCATTTAATTTTTAAGAGAACAATTAATTTCCCTTCCCTCCCTTACCACTACAAGTGCTTGTGAATAAACAATGTTAGTTTTACAATCATCAAGACATATTAATGTTAATGATTATAAAAGTAATAGTTGCATAAAATTAATGCACAATATAAAAACAAAATCAAGCTTTGACGCCTGTAACAACCTAATTATCCATAAAATGTTATCATTTCAAATTTAAAAATAAAGGCAGCCCATTAACCAGACTCCTGCTATTGTGGGGATATATGGAGGATCAGAAGTAGGTAGCCTTACCCCTGTGAGTGGAGAGGCTTTTTCCACAACTAGAATATGTACAAATTAATCCTTTTTTTTAAACACGTGAAGAAGAAGATATAAATTAATTTCTTCTACACATACACAAAGCTGCACTGGGGTTTAAGAAATATCTCATCCAGTAAAAGTAAACAAATTCAGAATGTAATACAACCTTATATGTGTCGAGGGGCATAGCAGACACTTGGTCCAACCATATCACACCTTTTGTGGTTGTTGTTAATTGAAGTCTTGAGTTATGATTTGTTGCATTGGCCTCCAATAAAGTCTCCATCTTCGTCCAGTTTGAAACATCAGATGCAGAACCTCTGCAAGATCAATTATTAGGTATTACTCATAGATGCAAAAGATGACTTCACGGATTAAAATTATGCGGACAAAATCTCTAGCACATAGAAATGCAGCTCACGTGATTACAGTTGAAGCGAGGTTTCCCACACCATCTGATCCAGTCAATGAAACTGTTAGATTAAGTGAACCTGTTGAACGAACATAGAAGACCACTTTGTATTTCTTCCCTTCCTCAATGTTCTGAAAGAAGATCAAAGTAGTATAGATACTTGCAGTCACAGCCATGAAGGAATTAAAAATAATAATAACAAAACACCTTCTCAGAATGAAAATAATCACATAAGGATCAAAAAAAAATTGCAACCTAGAAATTGAAACTAAAAGAAGCACAAACTTTAAGACTATGATTAATCTTATTTAGTTTTTTGTTAGCATGTTCAGGAGATATATGCACATAGGATTTAGGATCCAATTGATGCAAGGGTATCAATTAGTCTCACCATGCCCCAGAAACCAGGGTTATAAACACCAACTCCACCAGCTGGGCATACGTTGTCACCTTTACTGTCACATAACACCTCCAATCGAAGTGCAACCTTATTACGGTCAAAGCAGGAAGTACGATCAGTTGAAACATTTACAGATGATTCATCCCCAATAATTGACCAAGGATCAATATTCGAAGGAATGTTTGGGCCCCCGGCTTCAAATCCTGAAACAATAATTCTTGACATTTCAGTTATGCTTGAAAACGGTGACCTACAAATAATGAACAAGGTCAACAACAATACATCCATTTGTTCACATTTGATCATTGATAAAGTAAGATCATCCATCATATCTAAAACAGAATCCCCTTAAGAAAGTGATGAAAAGACACCTCAAGCCCCTTCTCTTCGCCCAACATTATATTATGTAAGAGAAAAAGTAGAAAGATACCAAAACAGTGAGTGGAGGAGAAAAAGGAAAACAAAAGAAAGCTGATTGTAGAGTGGCTAAATTGTTGCTTGAATATTATTTCATATTTATTCACAGGTTATTGGGAAGAAAAAAACACATATTACCTAAATAACAGTGAAAAATCTATCAGAATGTTCTAATAGACACCAAAACTAAGAAAAGCAAAAGGCAGGAACCCTTACACAGGTATGTGTATCATGAATTCAGAAAAAACTTCTCTAAAGTGAGCAAGGGTGTATCCACCTTTAAATTTTAGTGGGTTAAGATCACAAGATACACTTTAAATTAAATCAAGGATGGATATACCCTTACTTCTTCACTTTAGAGACAAGCTCACTTTAGAGGAGCCTCCAAGTTCTTCTCTTTTGATTTTGTTTTTCAGTTATTATCATGTTTCCTATAAAGTACAATGAATCGTAGAACGTTGTGTAATTGAACATGTAAACAAGAGAAAAGAAATATCCTGGAGAAACCTTCCAGTGATAGTTGTGTCATTTAAAAGCTTAGAGAATATGGAAATGACCTCTGTTGCTCACAAGCTCAGCCCACAATCCCCCAGCTCCAGCATGATTGATCTCCTGTAGATTAAATTCAAGTAATTGGTCATTTTCTGATATTTGATTGAGACATTACCAAATTGAATACAAACATGCACACTCAAAGTAAAAGGTAATTTTCTATAATCCCAAGTTTCATGAAGTTCATTCAATAACTCCCAATCCTGCATCGCAGAAGATGTTATATTATAGCTTTTATAATATGATAATAATTTAATGATTGTTCTACTTGTTAAATTCATCCAACTACTAACAACATAATCTCTTCTCACCTGATGCAGGTTGGAAGCATGAAAGAGGTATAAATATCGTTCTGGCAAACATAGAATGTGTATCTATATATATGTAAAGAACCTTGAGATACATCACCCCAAAAGCTAGCTCAAAGGGTGGGAGTGTCCAAGGCCTTATAAACTCCGCATTAGTTGCACATACAACCAATGTGGGACTATATATCTCAACACGCCCCCTCACACGAGAGCCCATTGGGCTTGAAGAGTGGACAATGCAACAGGCCCAGCCTACCTGTCCTAAGAAGAAACGCCACAAGAGAAAATGGGGGGCGGCGAGGCTCTGTGAGGGGGCGTGTAAAGATATAATATAGTCCCATATTGGTTGTATGAGCAACTAATGTGGAGTTTATAAGGCCTTGGACACTCCCACCCTTTGAGCTAGCTTTTGGGGTGGTGTATCCCAAAGTTCTTTACAATATATATATACTAAGGGAGAGTTCCTGGAAGGAGACAGGTGGCATTATCAGATGCCAGCATCTGTCTCTTACCTTCAATGAGAAACTCCTGCTTCATATTTTATCTTTCTGTAGATGAGAGTCCAGCTGAATTGGGTACAGATATTAACCATGGAAAAAGATGCATTCATTTATAAATTCTCACTTAGGGAGAATTCTAAACATTCTCAGTTGCTCTTAGAGTTGGCTATGCTGGTATGAACACAGGTTCCGAGGATGAAAATGCTCTTTATATTTTGAGTTGATAGGCTTTCACTTGTTCATCAAATTCATGGAGAAATATAGTCATATAGACTCTGATGACCACTACTTACATGACAAGCCCTTTATCTTGATACATAACCCCTCACGTAGTCTTCTGTAATTTGTTATTTCAGATGGCAGAAAAATTTGACTATATCTAGGACTTAGTTACACGCACTAAGCTTGTAAAGCATAGTTATAGTAGAATATGCAACGGGAAGGGGAAGTCAATCTGCTTGAAGATTTTACTTGTATTTTACTTTGAGGGCGAGCTTGGAATGGTGATAAAGTTGCTCATTGTGACCAGAAGGTCATGGTTTGGAGTTTGGGAAAAAGTCTCTTTGCAAAAAACAAGGATAAAACTGCGTACAATCGATCCTCACCCCTACTCTCGCAAGTCGGGGAGTCTTGTGCACCAGGGTTTGCCCTTTCTTTTTTTCATCTTCAAACAATATGAAGCCCAAGACTTATTATTATCCTTTCATTATAACTATTTTAATTCCAACTGCCTGAATTCATATTGACTATTAATTTTACAATTAAAATATCCATATCATTGATACAATCAATTATCTCATTTTCATCTTCAGACCTATCTCTCTGATAACCCGTGCATAGAACAGGTTCTATCCTAATTCTTTTAAAAGAAGACTGTATAATACACTAGAAATAAGGATGACTCTTGAACTAATAAGCACAATTGAAATAATTTTTTACTTATTAAAACGCATTAATATGGACAATATTTGTTCTCTTTATGGGTAGTATCTGCTCATTACACCAAATAAGAGTAAGCTTGAAAGATATTACAGGAAATCATCAAAACTAGTTACTTCCACATCACATCAAAATTGTGCTGCACATATCATGTTATAATCAAACATACTATGACATTGATGAATATTACACAACCCCATTGAATTGGATTGAATAATTTCTTCTTGAGAATAAAATTTAATGTCCTTAGTCCAAAAGTAAAATAAAAAAATTCAGTAGCACTGCATCTCTATGTTAATTAAGGCAATGGGAGAATAAACCTTGCTGTAATTGTTACTGTGGTTACTGCTGTTGTTAATGAGTTATGCATGATCAAACACACTGTCTGTGAGTGACTGAGTGCTTAAGCCTAATTAGATATCAAAAGGCCAAATACAAAGCAGAACAAGGAGATCAACATTTAGTAATCAAGTTTCAGGAAAAAAAAATTAATTAAAAAAGGAGTGGAGGAAAAACAAAAAGGGTCAATTGCTAGATGCATGTTTATCCTCACCTCAAAGAAAATTCCAAAAAGAGTATCCGGTATTAGCCTTCCAGATGCATCAGAAGCATTTACAGTCAGAGTTGTGTTCAGGTCAGCATGTTTTTTAGCAGCAAAGCATTGGAAGAAAAGGCAAATCACTATGAACAGTTGGAGCTGAGCAACACAGCATGAAGCCTTGGATAAACCCATTTTTTTGTTCACAACATTCAATCTATCTGCAGTCTGAACAACACAAGGTAACAAAAATTAACAAAAAATAAAAAACTGAAAAACCAAAGCTGAAAACAAAACAACATGTGATGTAATAAGGGTTGGACATAAAAAGGAAACATATATAACAAGTTAACAGCTAATGCGTCCCCACCGCTTGATCCTACAATATGACAAAACCCTTTGTTTTTGGAGTACAACTATTAAGGCTAAGTTACAAGATAGTTGCAGCTAAGCCTTACATGGTGAAAGGAAAAAATGTCATTTCAGTAATTTGATGGAACTGTAAAGTCAACTTTAGTTTTTAAAAAAAAAAAAATCCAAAATTGAAAAGTTCTTCAACAATGCAAACATAGTACACACTACACAGAATCAATAAAATGAGAATTTAAATTTGGAAGCAAGGCACCCACAGGTTTTGAAATTCATTTGACTGCAATTATTATGGTACATATATATATGAAGTCTGAATTCAAGTAATGTCCAAAACATTCAAAGAAATGAACAGTAAATTATTGCAGGGTAGCTGCACCCACCCCATTTTCTGAAGAGGGTCAAATTTCACATAATTAAAAAGAAAAAGAAAAAAAAAAAAAGGGTCCCAGAATATGAATCAACAACACCCCACAGAGAAGCAGATCTCATCCATAATACAATCAAGTTCACAAAACCATTCAGAAGCATAAAGGGTCACTTATTCACAGCTTTGAGAGTAAAATAAAAATAAAAATAAAAATAAAAAACTCACATGTATATATATGTCTGAGAGACAGAGAAAGAGAGTTGTGAAAGATAAAGTAGGAAATAATGAGTTGAAAAGAGTGTGTTATCGCTTGTCTTTATAGAGGAGGAGGATTGAATCATTGTCAGTGAAGTAAAGGGATGAACAAAGAGATAGACATTGCTTCCACGGTTGGAAGTGGAACTGTGGAACACAAAGTGACTTGTGAATCGGTTTGTTTAAGATTTTCATGCGTAGAGTGTGGACCCACCTTTGTTATTGCCGTCTGGACTTTGACGCAATCGTATTTGGTGCGTGTCTTCATAAGATAACAACATCATGTTTTTTTTTTTTTATGAATTTTGTTTTATCTATATTATTATTGTATGTGTAAGTTTTAGTTTTATGTATATTATTGTCCGTGTAAGATATTCTCGAACTGGTTGCTACCTCTGGAGTTAGGTGAGGAAGTCCTTTTAATTGTGGTGGGTGATGCATGAAAAAGATTTTAAGTGAGAAAATATTCATTAATTAGAAGTGAGATTTCACATGCACTTAATTTTTTTATTAGAAGAATATGGTGGATTATAAATCTTTTGCAATTGAAATTCTAGTATCATGACACGAAGTAACTCTCTCAAAATTGTTTAATCTGATAGGTAAACATAGTAGAATGATTTTTATTATATCTCTCCAAATGGCCTGGCAGCGTTCATTTTACATTTATGGCCAAACTCGAGTGAATCATTTCTATATATAAAAACATTTATGGCCTAACTCGAGTGTAATATCTTTATATATATATATATATATATATATATATATATATATATATATATATATATAGTAAATAATCTTTTGTGTCCCTAACAAAAAACATGATTCTCATTTTAGTCTCTTACAAAAAAAAATAGTCGGCTGGTCTTTAAAAAATTTAAAGTGGATCTATTTAAGTCCTTTTAAAGGACTAATATAGGCTTATTTTGAATTTGTGATGGACCACTATTTTAACTAAATAGATTCACTTTGAATTTCCTAGCGACCTTGAGACTGATTTTTTTTTAATAAAGGATTAAAATGGGGATTATGTTTTTTTGTTAGGAATAAAAAAAGAGTATTTATTCTTATACATATCTTGTATCTTCCTTGTCTTGTCTATATATAGTAAGTTATTATACAACTTTATTTATGTCAACAATATTATATGAGTAATATTTTTTTATACTGACCTAATTACCTCTATAAAGTAAATTGACTTCATGAAACTCACTTGATAACCTAAGTCGTCTTTCAAGAATTTTACAAGGGACTAAATTGCTTGATTAAAAACAAAAAATTGAATAGTTTTTTTTTTTCAATTCGACTAAAAATACAGCAAGACGTAAAAAGGGAATTTTCAATTTAAAAACAACTAACCCAGAGTTGGGATTCCTAGGATATCCATAATCGGATAGACAAATATCAAATCGTGGTTGACTTTAAACAAATAAGAATCTCTGCATTCACTTAGGGACCCTCTTTAGGCGATAGCCTAGCATTTGATCGAATATGATGCATCTACTCTTGCAATCGCAAAGTATCAGTCTGTTCAACTTGAAGTTATTGGGTTAATCAACATAACCCTTAAATCTAACAGTTAATCTCTTCCCATGAATGCAATCCCTGATCTCGAATTCAACATACACAATCGCGTGATGTCCAAATCGAGTTAGGACGGAAAACGAGGTCTAAATTATTTTTTGTTTTCATTTTCAATTGATGTATTTTTATTAATAATTATAAAAATAATTTTTTACATTTTTTTTTGAAACATTCTTTATATCTTTCCCATGTCAATCCTACAAAAACTCATTTCCTATTTTTTTTTATTACTTGATTGATTATAAATTTCATATATAACTACAATCTTAGAATCACACGTCAATTCTTAATAAATATAAAAAAAAAATTAAGTTTCTGGTGTCTCTACTATAAGTCATACATAAAATTTCAATTGTTTTAACATGAATAAAGCAATAAATGTTGAAATGTCAAATTCTTTTAATAATATAGCCACACAATATTATATTACAACATAAAAAAGGTTTGCTCCAATTATATTCTATTACCATTAATTACTTCTTGTATATCAAAATGCTAAGACGGTAATCTAGCTATATAGATTTTTTGTTTCCTTTAAAGGCAAATATGCTATCAGAGTTCCACTGATAAAGCAAGTTCTCTCTTAGAAGCAAATTAACAAGAAAATTTTTCCACTCTAAAATTTCTGTACAAGATTCTCTATGGCCTATGCAACTAGTTATTCCAACGATGAAGGCATATGCACAAGAAGATAACGAAGAGTCACTTTTAGCAACGCCTCGCGTTTACTCCAAGTGCTTCCAATTGCTGTGCTTATCCACATTTGGTCACCTGTCTGTGACATCAGTTTGTTTATATTTTTTGGATCAACTTGCTATAACTCATTTTCCTCCTTTTGAGATTTATCCGTTAAACTTTATAAATAAATGATTAAATCTCATAAATACTCAATCTGGTATCTTAATTTTCTTTATTAGTGTTGTGCACACACAACTCTATTAATTTCACATTTTTTCTTGTCATGTACAATAACTTATCACTAATTTATATTAAGATTAAGCACCATTTGTTTGATCTAAACTAATAAAAAATATATCAAAGAGTTGGTGCTGTTCTAGCTGAAAATTAAAATTTATCAAAAGTTTGGTCTAAAATTCCTAAATTTCTTGCTTTTTATGATTATATCGGCAAAATGAGGATTGTTTAGAGCGGGTTCAATGGACAATAGATATGAAATAGCCGTGGGTTGATTAGGACATTCTATTTTTTGAGATAAAGAGGGGTGTGGACTTTGTATACGTTGTATGCCTATCTTTTTTGAAATATTTCTGGTTGTTTTGATAGACCGAGATGTTATACTTACAAGTTACAACCACTTTTATGGTTGTTAGATCAAAATTAAATCAACGGTTACAAAATAACATTAAATGAAAATAAATTCCTGAAAAAATTGAATTTTATGATTATATTAGAAATAATCCGGTAAAACAAGGATTGTTTAGAGCGAGCTCAATGAGAAATAGACATGGAATTGCCGTGGGTTTGTTAGGACATTCTATTTTTCGAGATAAAAAGTGGAGCAATTTTTTTGTACATTTGTATGCCTACCTTTTTTGGAAACTGATCCGGATATAATATAGGCCTAACCAGGGCCCAATAAACACATGAAAGCCCAAGCCCATATAGGACCTAGAATAAAGGCATAAAGGGCAGGCACAGACGCGATGACCCTATCGCGGCACACCAGCGCGATGACCCTATCGCGTCCTACACGGCGCAATACCTCCTCACGACATGCAGGATGTACTTGTTCCCCACGCAACAAGATACCTTCTACAGACAATAAACTTAAGGGCCAAGGCAACACCACCGCGCCCTCACACCAGTAAACTACGGACAACTCCAGCTCGCTATGACTCTACTACTAGACACCATGGCGGCAAGCTCCTCAACATTTAAAACACTGACAGCCACACCACGTTGGTACCAAGGAACATTTGCCTTCACATGAAGAAAGGCATCCTACAAGCATACACCTCGACTACTATATAAACATACGTTGTACCACCAAGGTACGATCATCCTTTACTTTCACAATATAAACACCTACCTCTCATACTGACTTAAGCATCGGAGTGTCTTCGCAGGTACCCCCACATCTGGAGCAACGTGAAGGATGAAGGACAAAGAGCTCAGGCTCATCCCCCAACAGCAATACCAGGCCCAGGCCAGTAACCTCCCAAAGAGTCTCAACCGTGTGTGATTTGGGCTTAATACGCATTGGGCCATCCCAACCGTATCTGGTTCGATCATTGGCGCCGTCTGTGGGAATCTTATAACCCACCTTTCTCTAAAAACATGGTTGACACTCGCAGCAAATCTCAGAACGGTTCAAACGGAAAGCAGAAGGAGACCCCTGCTTCCCGTGAAAAATCAGCTTCCTCGTTGGCACCAATTACCATCCACCTGGATGACCCACCGACACCCCAACATCTGTTGGGCCTCATCGCGTTACAAAACAAGAAAATTGCCCAGCAAAATCGAGATTTAGCTCGACTGAAAAAAGCTCAAAAGAAGAAATAAAAAACTCAAGAAAAGGGAAAAGCAAAAGAAAAAAATCAGGAAAAGGAAAAAGATCTCAAAAATTCTAAAGAAAGTGAACCACCCCGTTCGCATTCAATAGGGAACCCAGGACCTTCGGGTCACAAAAATAAAAAAGGCGAAGAAATCAAAGATACTCAGGAAAATGAGAATTCCCATGGTCATTCAAGGACCGTTTCTCGAATTATTCACCCTTTTGTCCCCTGCATAATGAACATCCCAATCCCTCGTGATGTCAAGATAACAACAGAAAAATATAACGGCAAGGGGGTCCCGCAAGAGCATCTGGAACAATTCCAGACGAATATGATGGCACAAGATGTCGCTGATTCAATAGCATGTCGACTGTTTCCTACAACTCTTAAGAAAACAGCCCTTAGGTGGTACTCAGCGTTGCCACCCAATTCTGTACAAAGTTGGGAAGACTTAACCAACCAGTTTCTCGTGCGGTTCGCAACGAGCAAAGCACATACAAATCCACTCACGCGTTAAAAACAGTTCGACAACAGTCAAATGAAACTTTGCGCGATTATTTAAACAGATTCTTCGATGAAGCACTTCTGTCTAGAGACTTAGATCCACAAGTCTCACTACACATCATCACTGAAGGCCTTTTGGAAGGACCTTTTTTTATGTTGCTGGCCAAACAGCAACCTCGCACCATGGAAGAACTACGTGCGCGCTCAGAGAAATTTATCAATCTGGAGGATTACAAGCGTTCACGAGAAATCTCCAACACCAGAACTAGTACAGACAACTTCGAAAAAGATATCCAGAAGAATTTCCAACGCAAATTTCGCGAAAAAAGAAAGTGGGGAAAATACGACAACTACACCCCCTTGAATACATCTCCCAAGAGGATTTTCAAGGAAGTATTCCAAACAGGGTATGTCCGTGTTAACAGACCTCCTCCTATGTCAAAAGGAGTTCAACGTGATGAATCCAAATTTTGTGAATTCCATAACGACAAAGGTCACACCACCGACGAATGTCTCGCGCTCAGAAATACAATTGAGG